GATGAGAACTCATCAAAAAAATTGGAGAGAACCTCCCTTTAGAGATGCTCTTATATGCTTTCCGATCTAATTTAACGACTACTGGGTTATCACCACGTGTAATACGTAGAAACGTGTCACAAGCTACGAACATGTACGTGGGTACAAAAGCAATCTACACGAACACGACAATATATAGTTTCTTGATTTTGCATTATCTTTTCTTTCTTTATCTTTTCAGATTCAGAAAGTGTTATATAATATTTTTAAGTTAGCTGTTTCAACCAAAAAAAAGCTGAAAAATTATACGTTTGATAAAAATGTTGATGTTATTTGGATTAAAAACATCTTTGGATTTGCGATGTAGTTCAAAAACTCGTTACATTGCTTCCGTTTAACCAATACAACTGGTCACATTGCTAACATGGAACGTGAGAGATTCCTTCGACCCTCCTTCGCTAATTGCCCAAAGATCTACAATTAGGGATTGTTTCATAGATTGCCTAAGTTGATGTCAATAATTAGCTAGTATAAGCAAATCACTTGACGAGTTATGAATATAGATCAATATTATTTGCATGGGTAGCTCATTATATTCTGCGTGAGGCTATGTTTTAATTAGTCCAGTCTTTATCGATGGAGCTAGTTTGGTGTGGCTCTTCTACACTTCTACACTTTTTCTTTCCTTTCAAAAAAATTGGAGTGAATTACCCAAATAAAAATATGTATTAATTTAAGGCACTACTACATATATGATGCAAATGATAAAACTTAGAACGAACAAAATATATTCCAAAATGAGATTATATACAAATATCGAGAAAATGATTTATACCATTTATTAGATACGAAAAAAGAAAAAAAATGTGAAAGATATTTATTTGACAGAAAACAAAAGAGAGATTAGTGTTAAGGAAAATTAATGTCCAAATGTCCAATTTTCATTTTGTTAATCATACATGATTACACATTTTTATGTACATACATACAAACATATGATTTAATTAAACCTTTATAGAAAAAAGATTGAATCGTTGGAGACGAAAACAAAACAAGGTTTAGTTCAAATAGACAAAAAGATTTGATCTAAAAGAAAATCGACAAAAATCTAAAAAAAAAAAAAAAATCTAAACAAAGCGAGAAGAGCCAGAAACAAGATTGTTTGACGGTCTAACTTTTTTGGTCAAATAGATGATGTATGTAAACTTAATTACTCTCTGCTTTTGCTGACACTCTCTGCTTTTGCTGACACTAAACTTAATTACTCTGTTTTTTTTTTTTATGACAAATTTATATTATCAGGAAAACAAAAGAACAAAAATTAGTACTTTCTTTTGCAATTAAACCCCAAGTTTTGAAATTTCAGTATCTCTCAAACTCTCATAACCAGCAGCGAGAGAGTAGAGAGTGTGTGGAGAGAGACTAGGAAGTTGAAGGAAAAAAGCTTGAATCAGAAGATTTCCAGCGAGAAAGATGGCTAGAAACAGTGACTATGATATGTGCAAAGAAGAACGGAAGAGAGAGAGCTTCTTCAAGGTTCTACAAAGAGTTGATTTTTCTTCCGAAAACTTGGTAAAATCTCTTCTTTAACTCTTCATGTTCTTAAATTATGTAATTTCTTGTTAGTTTTAGTTTTGAAAGGTTGAAACTTTGGTTCTCTGTAACAGTGGGTCTTGTCTTAAAGGTTGAATCTTGTTAGTTGTCTTTGTAAGGTTTCCATAACAGTCTTTATGGGTTCCAGAACATGGTTTTGTTGCTTGTATCAGTTCTCTGTCTGAATGTGAGGATATGTGCTTTATTGTCAACTTAGTTTGTTTTGGATGAGATCTGGTTTCTGGCTTTTTTACCAACGTCTTGGTGTGTAATGGGACTAGTTTCATGGTGAGACTGATACTTAGGACTCAATTACTTGATGGGATGTAAAAAAGGTTCACTGTAACTGAAGAAACATTCTTGTTGGGTATGTTCTTCTTCTTCTTATATTTTCTCTTCCTCTTATTTGCATAACCAAAAAGAGAGCACTTCCTTACGACTTTGTGAGAAGCTTCTCCAACAATGAGCTCTCCGGTAAGATGAAGATAAAAGCGCAATGGGGAAGTTCTTGGGAAGTAGAAATCTGCAAGAATCCCAGATTCTATTTCATGGAGAAATCCGGATGGGTGAAGTTTGTGAGGGACAATGCCTTGGGAGACAATGAGTTTCTTACCTTCACTCACAAAGGAACAATGCGTTTTACAGTGAACATCTTCAAGCAAGATGGCAAGGAGATGCTGCAGCCTCCACAATCCATGGCCTCCATGGCTTCTTCTAGTAAGATTTGCTATTCTGATTATGAAGTAGTGAACTTGATAAAGACATTAGTTGATTCTTTACTTTTGATGATGAAACAGGGCGCCGGCGCACTAAAACAGAACAAGGAATATCTTATCTTGCCACGACAATAACAGCTGAATCTAATGGAGGAGAAAACTACACAAGGAAGCTCAACTTTGAGAAGAAGAAAGCTGCGGAATCCCAAAATTCCAAGAGGACCGAGAAAGTCTTTAGTGTCCGAAGGGATTCTGCAGGTGCCTCTTCATCTTCTGTTGCAGAATTCACCATCTTCATCAAGAAATCATACCTTATCTTCATGGTAAGATAAGACAAACCAAGAAACACTTTATTGTGCTTTGTATTGTGAATCAAAACATTATTCTGATTTTTCAGAGGATCCCGAAATCTGTTCAAAGTATTCATATGCCGATGCAGAGAACGATTTTCAAGATACATCAGCCAAATATGAAGAAGTCATGGAATGTGGTTTACTTGGTGGCAAATAGGGGTGCAAGCTTCTCTGGTGGATGGAAACGTTTGGCTCAAGAGTATCCTGTAGCAGTTGGAGACACTTGCAAGTTTTCATTCATCAAACAACACGAGCTGATTCTCTTTGTCTCAAAACCCTAAGAGGAGCTACTCACTAGTGATGATGGATGTGAAGGTGTCTTGGAGAACAAGCAACTGAGAAAAAGACTGTTTATCAGTGTTGTCTTGTGTTAAGGTGTTGTCTTAACTTTTAGTTTTATGTTATGACTTAGTTCGGTTTAAATTCAGAATGTCTATGGGGCGGATATATGTAGCTTGATATGTTTGGACCAATTTTAATATGTTGTTTCCGTTTGGCTTTACTTTGCTCTCTAACTCTTAATTATATTCAAGAACCACAAATCTGTTGGAATTCGATTGTGGCAGATGTATAACAACTGTTCATCATCAGAGAATTCAGAGCTATATTATAAATTAAGTTTCTGGAAAACATGAACCAATCGAGTTTCTCAGAAAAATTTACGTATTAAACAACCATGTTACTTTGGTCCAAATTACCTGTTTTAGTCTCTCTTCTTCTAAAGCCAAAAACACCAACCAACAAACAACTGTACAAGGTTTAATTGTGAAGCCACTATTTGAATATTTTAACTCTTTCAGAGACCTAACATCAAAAGTCTGATATTGATGTTATGTTCCAGGAAAGAGATAATTACACATTTGAACAAGACAAGGGAACTGCTTGGTTATAAATACCAATTACTGACTTAACTCGGCCTAAATGTGGCTCTGAATGTGCAACGCCATGGCTTTTGTTGGGTTATTTGCATATCTTACAAAGAAAAAAGCTTTTCAAGAGTTACTCTTTGCTGGAATCAGCATCAGAGTTCCCATATACAGCAGCAAAGTAGTAGCTCACAGTCTTAGGTGTTACGCCAGGGAATCTGTGGGAGCTATCCGGTTGCAAATCGATCTTAACGAATGGCCATTGCATTGCCTGTGCGGCTGCACACTCTTCCCATCCGTCCCCGATCACACAGAATCTGAATTTTGGGTGGTTGAAACGCTCTTTGATCCATTTGAAACATTGGAGCTTCCCCACATCTATTGAACTGTACACTGAAGAAAGGCAAAAAGAGTTAAATGATGTAGTTTGCTTTCACATAGAAATGCAAATGCATGAAGGAGCTTGCAGAGTAGCAAGATATCAGAAGCTAAGATATCCCATCGAAGGAGATGTCTCCGAGCTTACCATTTTCATGTCTTAGGAATGTATCTAGCCGGAAAAGCAGGCACTTCACGAGGCTCGGTATGAGGGCCCCGGAAGTCACTAGAATATGTATATCCTGAGAGCTTTGATCGATTGCACTTGGTCCATCACTGGACTCTTCTTTCACACATGAACACTGCTCCAAGAAAGCCCTTGCTGCAATTGAGACAAAACCATACTGAGCAGTGGATGCGATAAAGAAAATAACCACAAGAAGCAGACAGTTCGACATTTACCCGAAGAAAGCCACCGTTCTGTGTATTCATCAGTCACATTATACAACTCATCCAACACATTCATCGATTCACTGTCAAGGAATGGACACAAACCCTGCAATTATAAAGAGATGAGATATGTACTTGAGGCATATAACATCAGCAACAAATAACATATAAAATGTATCAGTACCTTTTCGTATTTGTGTGCAACAGCTCGATGCCTGTACGCAAGTTTCCTCTTGTTCAAGTCATCAGTAGGAGTACTAAAGTCGTCTTGTTTGAAGTCATAGAGAGAAAGATCCTTTCTGTCATCGTACTGTCTCAAAGAATCAAGAAATGGCTCATTGCATTCCTCAATCTGCAAAAACACAAGACTAATGTTTTGTAGGTGACAGAGTTTACGAGGGCATCTCATCATTCCCGTTCTGAACCTATCGTTAAGAAAAGACTTACTTGCTCGTAGAAGAAAAAATCGTCACAGATCTTAAGTATGTGTTTCTCCCACATCCTCCCAATCTCTACACCTCTTTTAACATCTTTGGAGCCATTAAAAGACTCAGCATAAGTCCCATTTAACAAAGATCTAAGTAAGATAAGAGTCTCGTCCATGTCCCATACATATACATTCACTGGTCCACCATCAGAAACCAAAGTTCCGAGCTTTTGTGATGTATTGTCATTCATAATCTGTTGTATTCCTTCATCAAATGACAAAAAGCATTCAGAAGGAGCCACAAAATTGCGATCGATGAGAAGTAACTAATTCACGGCACCAACATTGGCTACTAATTCACTGATGAAACAATCAGGGACCAGTGGACTGGAATAAGTTTCATGGCGGAAACAAAACCAATAAAATTCCCAAAAGAGCAAACTTTACAACAAACCCATGACTAATTTCACTAAACAAAACCTAAGAAACTTCGCTTAACGATTCTAGGTTAAATTAATTAAACAAAATTAGAACTTTCAGAACAAACGAGGATCGATGACAGATAACACAAAGTTCAAATTTGTTTTAAAAAAACCCATACCTGCCGATAAGATGAGCAAAGATAGAGCACCGGAGCTAAGTGACGACGATGCTTCAAAGATCACAGACGAAGGAACTGAACGGCGATCGAAACGGCGTCGTTTGATATCATTTAGCTTCTGGCCCAATTAAAGGCCCATTATGTTCGACAGTAACAAACACACCAGAAACTGAAGGAAGCTT